CATACGACACGCATGGCTTACGGAGGAAAGATTCTTTTCCACTTCCCCATGGACAATAGAAGAAATAAAAAAGAACAAGAGCTATTTAGAAAAAGGAGAAAAACCTAGATGTATGTATATATATATATGCATGTGCGTGTCTGTGAAGTGTGACCAAAGTGTAAGTAGGAGTAGCAAGATATCCCTGTTATCTTAGCGTGTTTATGAGACAGAAAAAGAAACCAGCAATCCTACCATCATGCAAAACAGTTACAGGTTTTTGTTTCACAGTCATCTGGCAGGACGGTAGTACTTCCCTGGGTGGTTGCTGTCTACCAACCTACTACCTTTATATATATATATATATATTATAAACTCATCAACCTTTTCCAACCTAGGCAGGAGTGTGTATGTATATATATAGGTACATTTAACCAGGGGCAAGCGATCAACCCGTAGGGGCCGTCCAGAGGTATTCACGTTCCATACATGGAAAGAGAGTATGGATCCAGTTGCTTGAATCAAGAGCCTCTCACCAGCATCAAGGTGAAAGGCTCCTGTGTTTATAAATCAGAGAACAAGTGGGAAGATTTAGACCCATGTTAGGCGAGTGCTAACACCCTGAGTGGGAAGATTTAGACCCATGTTAGGCGAGTGCTAACACCCTGAGTGGGAAGATTTAGACCCATGTTAGGCGAGTGCTAACACCCTGAGTGGGAAGATTTAGACCCATGTTAGGCGAGTGCTAACACCCCGAGTGGGAAGATTTAGACCCATGTTAGGCGAGTGCTAACACCCTGAGTGGGAAGATTTAGACCCATGTTAGGCGAGTGCTAACACCCTGAGTGGGAAGATTTAGACCCATGTTAGGCGAGTGCTAACACCCGAGTGGGAAGATTTAGACCCATGTTAGGCGAGTGCTAACACCCTGAGTGGGAAGATTTAGACCCATGTTAGACGAGTGCTAACACCCTGAGTGGGAAGATTTAGACCATGTTAGGCGAGTGCTAACACCCTGAGTGGGAAGATTTAGACCCATGTTAGGCGAGTGCTAACACCCTGAGTGGGAAGATTTAGACCCATGTTAGGCGAGTGCTAACACCCTGAGTGGGAAGATTTAGACCCCTGTTAGGCGAGTGCTAACACCCTGAGTGGGAAGATTTAGACCCATGTTAGGCGAGTGCTAACACCCTGAGTGGGAAGATTTAGACCCATGTTAGGCGAGTGCTAACACCCTGAGTGGGAAGATTTAGACCCATGTTAGGCGAGTGCTAACACCTGAGTGGGAAGATTTAGACCCATGTTAGGCGAGTGCTAACACCCTGAGTGGGAAGATTTAGACCCATGTTAGGCGAGTGCTAACACCCTGAGTGGGAAGATTTAGACCCATGTTAGGCGAGTGCTAACACCCTGAGTGGGAAGATTTAGACCCTGTTAGGCGAGTGCTAACACCCTGAGTGGGAAGATTTAGACCATGTTAGGCGAGTGCTAACACCCTGAGTTTGGGAAGATTTAGACCCATGTTAGGCGAGTGCTAACACCCTGAGTGGGAAGATTTAGACCCATGTTAGGCGAGTGCTAACACCCTGAGTGGGAAGATTTAGACCCATGTTAGACGAGTGCTAACACCTGAGTGGGAAGATTTAGACCCATGTTAGGCGAGTGCTAACACCCTGAGTGGAAGATTTAGACCCATGTTAGGCGAGTGCTAACACCCTGAGTGGGAAGATTTAGACCCATGTTAGGCGAGTGCTAACACCCTGAGTGGGAAGATTTAGACCCATGTTAGGCGAGTGCTAACACCCTGAGTGGGAAGATTTAGACCCATGTTAGGCGAGTGCTAACACCTGAGTGGGAAGATTTAGACCCATGTTAGGCGAGTGCTAACACCCTGAGTGGGAAGATTTAGACCATGTTAGGCGAGTGCTAACACCCTGAGTGGGAAGATTTAGACCCATGTTAGGCGAGTGCTAACACCCTGAGTGGGAAGATTTAGACCCATGTTAGGCGAGTACTAACACCCTGAGTGGGAAGATTTAGACCCATGTTAGGCGAGTACTAACACCCTGAGTGGGAAGATTTAGACCCATGTTAGGCGAGTGCTGACACCCTGAGTGGGAAGATTTAGACCCATGTTAGGCGAGTGCTAACACCCTGAGGGAAGATTTAGACCCATGTTAGGCGAGTGCTAACACCCTGAGTGGGAAGATTTAGACCCATGTTAGGCGAGTACTAACACCCTGAGTGGGAAGATTTAGACCCATGTTAGGCGAGTACTAACACCCTGAGTGGGAAGATTTAGACCCATGTTAGGCGAGTGCTGACACCCTGAGTGGGAAGATTTAGACCCATGTTAGGCGAGTGCTAACACCCTGAGTGGGAATATTTAGACCCATGTTAGGCGAGTGCTAACACCCTGAGTGGGAAGATTTAGACCCATGTTAGACGAGTACTAACACCCTGAGTGGGAAGATTTAGACCCATGTTATACGAGTACTAACACCCTGAGTGGGAAGATTTAGACCCATGTTAGACGAGTGCTAACACCCTGAGTGGGAAGATTTAGACCCATGTTAGGCGAGTGCTGACACCCTGAGTGGGAAGATTCAGACCTATGTTAGGCGAGTGCTAACACCCTGAGTGGGAAGATTTAGACCCATGTTAGACGAGTGCTAACACCCTGAGTGGGAACATTTAGACCCATGTTAGGCGAGTGCTAACACCCTGAGTGGTAAGATTTAGACCCATGTTAGGCGAGTGCTAACACCCTGAGTGGGAAGATTTAGACCCATGTAGGCGAGTGCTAACACCCTGAGTGGGAAGATTCGATGCACCATGTTTGGGCGAGTGCTAACACCTGAGTGGTAAGATTTAGACCCATGTTAGGCGAGTGCTAACACCCTGAGTTGGAAGATTCAGACCCATGTTGGGCGAGTGCTAACACCCTGAGTGGGAAGATTCAGACCCATGTTGGGCGAGTGCTAACACCCTGAGTGGGAAGATTTAGACCCATGTTAGGCGAGTGCTAACACCCTGGTGGGAAGATTTAGACCCATGTTAGGCGAGTGCTAACACCCTGAGTGGGAAGATTTAGACCCATGTTAGGCGAGTGCTAACACCCTGAGTGGGAACATTTAGACCCATATTAGGCGAGTGCTAACACCCTGAGTGGGAAGATTTAGACCCATGTTAGACGAGTGCTAACACCCTGAGTGGGTAAGATTTAGACCCATGTTAGACGAGTGCTAACACCCTGAGTGGTAAGATTTAGACCCATGTTAGACGAGTGCTAACACCCTGAGTGGGAAGGTTTAGACCCATGTTAGGCGAGTGCTAACACCCTGAGTGGGAAGATTTAGACCCATGTTAGGCGAGTGCTAACACCCTGAGTGGGAAGATTTAGACCCATGTTAGGCGAGTGCTAACACCCTGAGTCCAGACCTCACTTGTCATTATTTATCTCCTCTAACGTTATGGATTTGTTAATGACCTTAATGATTTTTCTTTCATATATTAATATTACGTATATTATTTATAAGTATTTTAAATATGCAGAGATTTTCTGCTTAAACAAGATTCATTAATGTTGGAGGATTTTGTGAGTGATCTGTCTGGTGTTAAGAGCAGTGGCCCCGCACCTCCAAGTGTGGCACTCATCTCTGTTGAGTGACTCATCTCTGTTGAGTGGGACTCATCTCTGTTGAGTGGGATCATCCTGTGATGGACTCATCTCTGTTGAGTGGGACTCATCTCTGTTGAGTGGGACTCATCTCTGTTGAGTGGGACTCATCTCTGTTGAGTGGGACTCATCTCTGTTGAGTGGGACTCATCTCTGTTGAATGATCATCGTTGAGGACTCATCTCTGTTGAGTGGGACTCATCTCTGTTGAGTGGGACTCATCTCTGCTGAGTGGGACTCATCTCTGTTGAGTGGGACTCATCTCTGTTGAGTGGGACTCATCTCTGTTGAGTGGGACTCATCTCTGCTGAGTGGGATTGAACTCTGCTGAGTGGGACTGATCTCTGCTGAGTGGGACTGATCTCTGCTGAGTGGGACTGATCTCTGCTGAGTGGGACTGATCTCTGCTGAGTGGGACTGATCTCTGCTGAGTGGGACTGATCTCTGCTGAGTGGAATTGAACTCTGCTGAGTGGGACTGATCTCTGCTGAGTGGGACTGATCTCTGTTGAGTGGGACTGATCTCTGCTGAGTGGGACTGATCTCTATTGAGTGGGACTGATCTCTGCTGAGTGAGACTGATCTCTGCTGAGTGGGATTGAACTCTGCTGAGTGGGACTGATCTCTGCTGAGTGGGACTGATCTCTGTTGACTGAGGATTAGACTCGCACATCTCGCCCATAGCCACTTGCTGACAGGTGTTCCTGACCCCCTGCTTGTGTAGGCTGAGTGGTACAGGTGACTGTGGCACATATGTGGTACAACTGACTGGTACAACTGACTGTGGTACACTGTCTCGAACCAAGACTATCAACTTGAGCACATGACCAGACTGAGGGACTGATCACCTCAAACTACTTCAAGGTTAAGAGACTGATGACATCATTACCTCCCCACTCCTGCTATCTCCATATTTCCTACCTCTGTATACCACCGAAGAAGCCGCCTCCGTAGGCGAAACGTTTCTCAGTAAAAATGTGCTCACCTGTTGCTTTTTTGTCTTACTTATTTGGCATTAGAAATGAGAGGAAGATATTGCATCTTCATGCAATTTAAGAGCTCTTGTTCCAAGGAATCTGAGCTACCCTTACCTTGTATGAAACCTTGCTTGACTTAGGTTGCTGGATGTTTCGCCCTTATGGGTTACCCATACCACCACTGGTGTACCAGTGTTGGGTATCAATAAACCAACACTGGCTTTAAGACCTTACTCTTTCGAGACAAAATTGATTATTATTATTATTATTATTATTATTATTATTATTATTATTATTATTATTATTATAGTTTTTAGTGTTTTGTTATACACATAGCAACTTAACATAATGTGTGTGTGTTTTCAGATCTCAATGTCGTACTTAGAGATCTACAACGAGAACATCAGAGATCTGTTACAGCCAGGAGGCAGTCTGGAGCTGCGGGAGGACGCTAAGACTGGTGTTATACAGGTGGCTAACCTGACTGAGAAGGCTATTATCAATACCAAGGAGGTAAGTACCATACCAGACAAGTGGATCCATGGTACCAGGTGAGTACCATACCAGACAAGTGGATCCATGGTACCAGGTGAGTAGATGAATGGTTCAAAGAACCGACACGTTGTTAAATTACACATGTGCAACTCTTGGGTATCTTTATTGAGGAAACGTTTCGCCACACAGTGGCTTCATCAGTCCATACAAAGGATAAACTTGAAGAACAGGAGGAGAATGAGGTAATCATCTACAATCCTGTCACACTGCAACTTCTTGGGATCTTAATACTTGGGAATTCTTCGCTTGCCTAACCCTTGGGCACGACCTACTTCCACATTGAACAAATGTGACACCACCTGCGACTGCTGCACCTCTCCTGCCATACGGTTTATAAGCTGCTTCTCCGCTCATATGCCGTATTCTATTCAAGATTGATGGACTGACCACATCGTCTCAAGGTTGAGGGACTGATTACCTCATTCTCCTCCTGTTCTTCAAGTTTATCCTTTGTATGGACTGATGAAGCCACTGTGTGGCGAAACGTTTCCTCAAAGATACCCAAGAGTTGCACATGTGTCTTATTTAACACCAGGTGAGTACCATACCATATATATATATATATATATATATATATATATATATATATATATATATATATATATATATATATATATATTATATGCAATAAGGTCACAGTAAACAGGTGATTTCAGAATATGCAAAACAACCACTGTGAAAGAATAGAGAAATTCCAAGCGCATTCGTGACTACTCACATTATCAAGGAACAATGAATGTAATGCATCAAAGGAAGGAATATAAAGGGTCTAGCCCACACATCACTATCAAATCCCACAACAAAGCAACACCTGACGCGCGACTCATAATAAAGGGAACACTGCAGCAGGCCCGCTGGCCCAACTAGACAGGTCCTTCACACAACCCACCAACAAACTATTCTACCCAAGAAATAAGAATTTTTAAAATTTATTATTTGTCCAATGTATAATTAAATTCTTCCCAGATTCTATTACATTCATTTAAAATTAATAGAATCTGGGAAGAATTTAATACATTGGACAAATAAAAAATTTAAAAATTCTTATTTCTTGGGTAGAATAGTTTGTTGGTGGGTTGTGTGAAGGACCTGTCTAGTTGGGCCAGCGGGCCTGCTGCAGTGTTCCCTTTCTTATGAGTCGCACGTCAGGTGTTGCTTTGTTGTGGGATTTGATAGTGAGGTGTGGTCTAGACCCTTTATATTCCTTCCTTTGATGCATTACTTTCATTGTACCTTGATAATGTGAGTAGTCACGAAAGCGCTTGGAATTTCTCTATTCTTTCACAGTGGTTGTTTTGCATGCATATATATATATATATATATATATATATATATATATATATATATATATATATATATATATATATATATATTTTATAATAAGCGTGTATGCACCTGGAGAAGAGAGGAATGCAGAAGAGAGAGAGATTTTGGGAGATGTTAAGTGAATGTATAGGAGCCTTTGAACCAAGTGAGAGAGTAATTGTGGTAGGGGACCTGAATGCTAAAGTAGGAGAAACTTTTAGAGAGGGCGTGGTAGGTAAGTTTGGGGTGCCAGGTGTAAATAATAATGGGAGCCCTTTGATTGAACTTTGTATAGAAAGGGGTTTAGTTATAGGTAATACATATTTTAAGAAAAAGAGGATAAATAAGTATACAAGATATGTAGGGCGAAATGACAGTAGTTTGTTGGATTGTGTATTGGTAGATAAAAGAATGTTGAGTAGACTTCAGGATGTACATGTTTATAGAGGGGCCACAGATATATCAGATCACTTTCTAGTTGTAGCTACACTGAGAGTAAAAGGTAGATGGGATACAAGGAGAATAGAAGTATCAGGGAAGAGAGAGGTGAAGGTTTATAAACTAAAAGAGGAAGCAGTTAGGGTAATATATAAACAGCTATTGGAGGATAGATGGGCTAATGAGAGCATAGGCAATGGGGTCGAAGAGGTATGGGGTAGGTTTAAAAATGTAGTGTTAGAGTGTTCAGCAGAAGTTTGTAGTTACAGGAAAGTGGGTGCGGGAGGGAAGAGGAGCGATTGGTGGAATGATGATGTAAAGAGAGTAGTAAGGGAGAAAAAGTTAGCATATGAGAAGTTTTTACAAAGTAGAAGTGATGCAAGGAGGGAAGAGTATATGGAGAAAAAGAGAGAGGTTAAGAGAGTGGTGAAGCAATGTAAAAAGAGAGCAAATGAGAGAGTGGGTGAGATGTTATCAACAAATTTTCTTGAAAATAAGAAAAAGTTTTGGAGTGAGATTAACAAGTTAAGAAAGCCTAGAGAACAAATGGATTTGTCAGTTAAAAATAGGAGAGGAGAGTTATTAAATGGAGAGTTAGAGGTATTGGGAAGATGGAGGGAATATTTTGAGGAATTGTTAAATGTTGATAAAGATAGGGAAGCTGTGATTTCGTGTATAGGACAAGGAGGAATAACATCTTGTAGGAGTGAGGAAGAGCCAGTTGTGAGTGTGGGGGAAGTTCGTGAGGCAGTAGGTAAAATGAAAGGGGGTAAGGCAGCCGGGATTGATGGGATAAAGATAGAAATGTTAAAAGCAGGTGGGGATATAGTTTTGGAGTGGTTGGTGCAATTATTTAATAAATGTATGGAAGAGGGTAAGGTACCTAGGGATTGGCAGAGAGCATGCATAGTTCCTTTGTATAAAGGCAAAGGGGATAAAAGAGAGTGCAAAAATTATAGGGGGATAAGTCTGTTGAGTATACCTGGCAAAGTGTATGGTAGAGTTATTATTGAAAGAATTAAGAGTAAGACGGAGAATAGGATAGCAGATGAACAAGGAGGCTTTAGGAAAGGTAGGGGGTGTGTGGACCAGCTGTTTACAGTGAAACATGTAAGTGAACAGTATTTAGATAAGGCTAAAGAGGTCTTTGTGGCATTTATGGATTTGGAAAAGGCGTATGACAGGGTGGATAGGGGGGCAATGTGGCAGATGTTGCAGGTGTATGGTGTAGGAGGTAGGTTACTGAAAGCAGTGAAGAGTTTTTACGAGGATAGTGAGGCTCAAGTTAGAGTACATAGGAAAGAGGGAAATTATTTCCCAGTAAAAGTAGGCCTTAGACAAGGATGTGTGATGTCACCGTGGTTGTTTAATATATTTATAGATGGGGTTGTAAGAGAAGTAAATGCGAGGGTCTTGACAAGAGGGGTGGAGTTAAAAGATAAAGAATCACACATAAAGTGGGAGTTGTCACAGTTGCTCTTTGCTGATGACACCGTGCTCTTGGGAGATTCTGAAGAGAAGTTGCAGAGATTGGTGGATGAATTTGGTAGGGTGTGCAAAAGAAGAAAATTAAAGGTGAATACAGGAAAGAGTAAGGTTATGAGGATAACAAAAAGATTAGGTGATGAAAGATTGAATATCAGATTGGAGGGAGAGAGTATGGAGGAGGTGAACATATTCAGATATTTGGGAGTGGACGTGTCAGCGGATGGGTCTATGAAAGATGAGGTGAATCAGAACTGATGAGGGGAAAAGAGTGAGTGGTGCACTTAGGAGTCTGTGGAGACAAAGAACTTTGTCCTTGGAGGCAAAGAGGGGAATGTATGAGAGTATAGTTTTACCAACGCTCTTATATGGGTGTGAAGCATGGGTGATGAATGTTGCAGCGAGGAAGGCTGGAGGCAGTGGAGTTGTCATGTCTGAGGGCAATGTGTGGTGTGAATATAATGCAGAGAATTCGTAGTTTGGAAGTTAGGAGGAGGTGCGGGATTACCAAAACTGTTGTCCAGAGGGCTGAGGAAGGGTTGTTGAGGTGGTTCGGACATGTAGAGAGAATGGAGCGAAACAGAATGACTTCAAGAGTGTATCAGTCTGTAGTGGAAGGAAGGCGGGGTAGGGGTCGGCCTAGGAAAGGTTGGAGGGAGGGGGTAAAGGAGGTTTTGTGTGCGAGGGGCTCGGACTTCCAGCAGGCGTGCGTGAGCGTGTTTGATAGGAGTGAATGGAGACAAATGGTTTTTAATACTTGACGTGCTGTTGGAGTGTGAGCAAAGTAACATTTATGAAGGGGTTCAGGGAAACCGGCAGGCCGGACTTGAGTCCTGGAGATGGGAAGTACAGTGCCTGCACTCTGAAGGAGGGGTGTTAATGTTGCAGTTTAAAAACTAGTGTAAAGCACCCTTCTGGCAAGACAGTGATGGAGTGAATGATGGTGAAAGTTTTTCTTTTTCGGGCCACCCTGCCTTGGTGGGAATCGGCCAGTGTGATAATAAAATAAAATAAATAAAAAATATATATATATATATATATATATATATATATATATATATTATATATATATATATATATATATAATATATAATATATATATATAATATATAAAGTCGGCCGTCTCCACCGAGGCAGGGTGACCCAAAAAGAAAGAAAATCCCCAAAAAGAAAATACTTTCATCAGCATTCAACACTTTCACCTCGCTCACACGCATTCACTGTTTTTGCAGAGGTGCTCAGAACACAACAGTTTAGAAGTATATACGTGTAAAGATACACAATATATCCCTCCAAACTGCCAATATCCCGAACCCCCTTCTTTAAAGTGCAGGCATTGTACTTCTCATTTCCAGGACTCAAGTCCGGCTATGTAAAATAACCGGTTTCCCTGAATCCCTTGACTAAATATTACCCTGCTCACACTCCAACAGATCGTCAGGTCCAAAGTATCATTTGTCTTCATTCACTCCTATGTAACACGCTCACGCACACTTTCTGGAAATCCAAGCCCCTTGCCCACAAAACCTCCTTTACCCCCCTCCCTCCAACCCTTTCGAGGACGACCCCTACTCCTCCTTCCTTCCCCTACAGATTTATACGCTCTCCATGTCATTGTACTTTGATACATTCTCTCTTAATGACCAAACCACCTCAACAAACCCTCTTCAGCCCTCTGACTAATACTTTTATTAACTCCACACCTTCTCCTAATTTACACACTCCGAATT